CAAACAAAGAGAGAGGGACAGAGAGGGAGGTGAAACGCGAGTGAGAGAGGGAGAGAGGGATGGGGAGGATGAGATGAAAGGAGAGAAAGTCACAGAGAGACGGAGAGAGAGAGACAGACGGGGAGGCGGAGAGTGAGAGAGAGAAATGGAAGGAGGATAGAGACACACAGAGATGAAGAAACAGAGAGAGAGGGAGGAAGACAGAGGTGGAGAGTGAGAGAGAGGGATGGGAAGGATGAGAAGAAGGAGACACACAGAGAGATGGAGAGACAGAGAGAGAGAGGGAGAGTGGTACAGGGATGGGGAAAGGATAGAAACACATAGAGAGAAACAGAGTAAGAAAGAGAGAGACACAGAGAGAAAGAGGGAGAGAGAAGGAGTGAGAAAGATAGAGACAGAGGGAGAGGAGAGAAAGAAAAGAGAGACAGAGGCGAAGTAGAAGAGAAGAAGAGACAGAGCCTAAGATGCTGACAGAAGAGAATGAAAAGGAAGAAAGGAAGAGAAAGGAATAGAATTTAAAATCAGAATCTTACAAACATTTCCTTAAACAACAAAAACCCATCCCATTTTTATTTTCTCTTTACATTTTTACCTTTTGCCAGAATTCCTGAAAAGATCGTCAGACTATTGCTGAAAGTGAATCCACAAGCACGAGTTCCAGGTGTTTTTTTTTTTGTAAAACTTGTGAGTGATGGATGAGCGAGCGTCTTATCTCTGGTGGTCAGCTGACGGTGGCGGGAGCGAGAGGGGCCGGTGCCAGTTCCTCAGTCTCACGTTGTGCGTCTCACATCGGGCGTCTCTGAATCACCAGGATCTGCATATTTTTACACCGCCACGTTCTGCTCCAAACTCTCGTCGGAATTAGCATAGCACCGATTCCGTGACTCATCTTTCACACTTTCATTAGTTTGTCCAAAAAAGAATCAAACCATCGTCTCCGGGAAGATCACGAAGGAAAAGGAGCTCGTGTTTAGGAACTCAGGATATGTCTGAAGAGGAACTGGACTGGGACGATTTTACAGAGACAAGAAAATGCAATAAAAAAAAAACAAAAAAAACCCCAAAAACTATAAACTAACCCAAACATTTGCATTAAAAAAATAAATTTGAAAAATAACTATTAAAACTAAACAAAAACACATGTTATAATGATGTAACCTCCTCAAAAACAGAAAACAGACCTGGAGCTGTGGGAGAGACAGAGAGAGAAGAGAGAAAGAGGAGAGGACAGAGAGAGAGAGAGATGAAGAGGAGAGAGATGAAGAGAAGAGAGTGAGAGAGGGAGAAGAGAGAGAGGGAAAGGAGAGAAGGCGAGACAGGGAGAGGAGAGAGAGAGATGAGAGACAGAGGAGGGAGAGGGACAGGAGAGAGGGAGATAAAGTGAGAGGAAAGAAGGAGACGAGAGAGGGAGAGGAGAGAGAGATAAGGAGAGAGGGGGAGAGTGAAAGGGGGAGAGGGAGGAAGAGGAGACAGAGAGAGGTTGAGGAGAAAAAGAAAGGAAGGAGAGAGAGGAGAAAGGGAGAGGAGAGAGAGTGAGAAAGAAGGAGAGAGGGGGAGAGAAGAGAGTGAGGGGAGAGAGGAGCAGGTGAAAGAGGAGGTGACAGAGAGAGAGAGAGAGAGGAGAGAGGAGAGAAAAAAGAGAGAGCTAGAGGAGAAAGGGAGAGAGAGATAGAGATAGAGTGAAGAAAGAGAGAGGTGAGAGAGGGAGAGGAGAGAGAGAGAGAGAAAGAGAGAGGAGGAGAGGAGAGAGGGAGCAGAATGAAATGAAGCCAATTTAATGAGTTTTCCATGTAAACTTCAGTTCTGAATTATTGTGTCCATGTAAACTTGAAGGAGAACATTTTAATTCCAAACTATTTAATTCAGAACAATTCATTCGGAATTAAACATAAATAAATAAATCATGTAAACGTTGCCATTGTGTCCTTGGGCAAGACACTTCACCCACCTTCTCCAGTTTGAATGTGGAGTGTTGGTCAGAGGATGCTGGTTTGAAACTCCACACAACCTTCACAAGAATCATTCGGATAATTTTAGGTCTGGAATTGCCAATCTCTACTGAACTAAAAGTAAAAAGGAGCTGTAACTACCACTTCATGACATCACAAGGTGGGACAGAGCATTTTGAGCTTTGGAGATGTCAAATAAACGTGAGAATGAAACAAAACACAACTCCAGGTCTGTTTTTGAGGAGGCAACAACATTCTAACATGACTTAAAGCTCACAAGAGTCCAATTTGCGTAATTTATTTAGTTTGTAGTTTATTTACTCTACTTATGTACTTGAGTAAAAGTAACCGAGTACAACCTGCACCTCCAGACGCCGTGTTTCCTTCATAATAATTGCTTGGGCTTTGCAGAATTGGTAAAAGTCACGGCAGATTAGTTCCAGTGGCTAAGCTGAGACGGTGATTCCAATCTGGGTTTAGCGAGGCCAGAAAAGCTCCACCAAAACACTGGCAATCGAACAGCGCACCATGATAACACCGAGAGTTATAAAGACCAAAATGAGTCCAGCTTTTCAGAAACTGTCCCCAAAAGGCTCCAAGTAGCACCCAAGATAGCAGCATGTGAGCTCAGAGGTTAATTTGAAAATGGATAAAGCCGAAAGTGTGGATCAGCGCCTCATGACTAGAAGGTCACTGGTTTGATTCCCAGTATGATGTCTTTGTTAGGTTTAGTAGATAGATAGACTAACTCCAGGTCTGTGCTTCTGACCAGAGGTGGGCAGAGTAGCCAAAATGTGTACTCAAGTAAAAGTTTGGACTAAGAATAAGAATAAAAGAATAAAATTAAATAAATAAATAAATACATAAAAAAAAAAAATTCTATAGCGCTTTTCCACCTTCAAGGCACTCAAAGCACTTTACAACAAGGAACCACTCACCCATTCACACGCACATTCATACACCAGTGTACACAGACACTGTGGGCAAGGTGGGTTAAGTGTCTTGCCCAAGGACACAACGACAGCATTTATCTGTGGGAGCTGGAATCACACCAGCCAACCTGTGGGTCAGTGGATCTGACCACTGAACGTGCGATGTTTTTGTTTTTGTTTTTTATGGTGAGAGCTGGAATTGAACCGCCAACCTTCAGATCAGTAGGTAAATGCTCTACCAACTGAGCTACTGCCTAAAAAAAAAAAAAAAACTTAAAATAAATAAATAAATAAATAAAATCATACGAAACAAAGGAGCGATTAAAGTGTAATTTGATTTAAAAATGTAGTGGAATGTTCCATGTTGTATGACATTGAACTTAGCTCTTTAACTAGATGTGCTTTTGTTGCTTGACAGTAGCCCTAAGCATGCTCGCCTCTACACAGATCTGACCTGTAACGTGGCCTGATGGCGTCACCTGCTAGTCTCCATGGATACAAAGAGCATGTTTAATGTCTTATTTGGGAACATTGCTGACAAGGAAATAGCAATAATACTGAGACAAGCAGGTGGTGGACCCTTTACCTGAAGTAGTCATAAAGGCAATTTGAGAGCAGACATGCTTAAAACAGACCAGTCCTCTGCATTTGACCCATCCTTCAGTGTTTTTTGGATTAAACCTGCATTTGACCCATCCTTCAGTGTCTATGTCTTAAAACCGCGTTTGCTCCATAATTCAGTGCCTCTGGTTTAAACCTCCCTTTGACCCATTGTTCAGTTTATCTCTCTTAAACCGGTATTTGACCCATCCTTCAGTGTCTCTGTCTTAAAAATGCATTTGACCCATTATCCAGTGTCTCGGTCCTAAACCTGCGTTTGACCCATCCTACAGTTTCTCTGTCTTAAACCTGCATTTGACCCATCCTTCAGTGTGTCTGTCTTGAAATTTCATTTGACCCATCCATCAGAGTCACTGGATTAAACCTGCATTTGACCCACCATCCAGTTTATCTGTCTTAAAACAACAATTGACCCATCCTTCATTGTCTCTGGATTAAACCTGCATTTGACCCATAATTCCATGTCTCTGTCTTAAACCTGTATTCAACCCATCCTTCAGTGTCTGTCGTAAACCTGCATTTGACTCATCTTTCAATGTCTCTGGCTAAACCTGCATATGACCCATCCTCCAGTGTCTTGATCTTAAACCTTCATTTGACCCATAATTCAGTGTCTCTGGGTTAAACCTGTCAAGAGCAGTGGGACCCATCTCCAGCTCTTGAGCTAGTCTGATTTGGAGATGTCTTAAAACTGCATTTGACCCATAATTCAGTGTCTTTGACTTAAACCGCATTTGACCCATCTTTCACTGTGTCTGTCTTAAAACCGCATTTGATTCTGGCTCCAATTCACATTGTAAATTGTCACTTCTTTCTGTAACTTCTCTGTAACTTTGGTCTTAAAATGTTCGCATTAACCCGCTCTACGTCATCCCCAGGTTTTTATTTTGCTATTTTGAATATAAATCAATTCCTCAACTCCACATTTGTCCCATAACTTGCAGCCTCGATGAGCTTTGAGCAGTTTAAACACAGGGAGAACATGTAAACTCCACACAGAAAAACTTAAATCAAACCCTGAACCTTGTTTCTGGCTACTCCACCACCTCACCACCACGTTTTACAGAGAATTACACAAACCAGAATGAGGCGAAAACAACTTTAAGCATGTTTTTTGATGAGGGGAAAGTGTCATAACACGACTAAAACTTCAAAACAGTTAATTTTGCATAATGCGTGTCCTTTAGCTTTGAAACTTCACTTTACATAAAACATAACTCGTCAAACTATCCAAAACAAACATGCCGCCATTTTGTTTTCATGTGAGCCCAAATGCTTTATTTTCACATTGGAAATATCTGTGAAACAGTGGCCGCGGCAGGTATTGTTCCTTTGCCAGGGTTCATCAAAAACACACCTCCGTCAAAAGCTGCTAATTACATTCCTCCCCTCTGCACAGCTGGCAAAGCAAATGAGCAGCTCCAAACGCTGACCTCTCATATCTGCTGCCGCCACATTCTCACCGTTTTGTTGTTCTTTTTTTCTTGTGCTTTTGCAGTTCCGTCATTTTGGGGGCTCGTGAACTCGGCGTGGAACCTCTGCTCCGCCGGGAAGAGGCAGTCGCCGGTCAACATCGAGACCAGTCACATGATCTTTGACCCTTTCCTCAAGCCCATCAAGCTCAACACCGGCGGACGCAAGGTAAGGACCTCGCACACGCAACGGTGTTGGGAAATGACGAAAAATATACTGTAAAGACAACTCTGTATACAAATCTGGAGTAACTGTATTCCGGTACAAATATACTTTCATTTGTGGAACTCAGAGTACAGTTACATTCCGAAAGTCAAAGGAATCAGTTGTGTTCATGTGACATTCACTACAGAAAAGAGATACATAGATTTGCACTTTTCATATCAGCTATCGACCTTAAAACGTTCATATTACACAATTTTATGATCTGTGTTATAACAAACATTGTAAAATAGATCAGAAAATTATGTAATATGGACATTTTAAATCTCCAGCAGTGTATTTTGTTTGTGCCAACCAGCTGCCTAAATAAACATCTGAACACTTTAGTCCAGCGATAGTACCGTATTTTTCGGACTATTAATAGCACTTAAAATCCTTAAATTTTCTCAAAAATCAACAGTGCGCCTTATAATCCTGTGCGACTTATGTATTAATTCTAATCGTGCTTTCTGACCTCGAACTGGTTTTATGTGGTACACGGCGCTGAAAAATCTATCAAATTGTTTTAGTACGACTTTGGTAAACTACGAAGCCACGCCGTTTGATGGATTGTCGGAGCGTTACGGCTACTGCAGTCAGGAGCATCACGGAGTAAACGGCGAAGTATAGTTCTGCGTCGACTCAATGCACACTGCCGCCGTCGCCTTGTCGCAGAAAGAACATACATATTCCACTGAGTCGTGTCCTTTAATCTGACAGAAGCTGAACCACATCAGCGCACGAGGAGTGACCAGTTTTTTTTGTTTTATTTTTTTTTTTTTTCAGAGCTTATAGTTTATGCAAATGAGTCATGTGGTTTTAAGTTTTGTTTCTGTAAAACATAAACAAATGTGCACAAAGCTGCAGTAAACAAATTATTACTCAATCTATATTTGAGTCGTCCTCGTAGGAAATAAAAACAAACTTAAATGATCCACCCACATTCACATTCATAATCCACATTCACCAAGACAGGGACGTAATGCCGTGCGAGTTACGCCACGATCTGCCAATGGATCGTGGATGCCCGGGCTAAGGATCAATCTCAAATGTCGTCCATTTGTTTCACTTAAAATTCACTAAAGAACTACTTCTCTTCACTAAATTTCACTCTTATAATCCAGTGCACCTTATGTATGAAAACAGATGAGAGAATTCAACATTATTGATATTGCGCCTTATAATCCGGTGTGCCATATAGTCCGAAAAATGCGGTACTGCAAAACCGCTTTCTTATCTAGATTGTAGTCAAAGAAGGTTGTGGATGCGTCTGTGCTAAATTGAAATGAGAACATTTGGAAAACTGACCAAAACCTGCCCTAAATATTGGTTCAAAAATACCGTAAAAGCTCATCGACCATCAGCTGCCCTGGATTCAAGCGTTTCATAACTGGTATTACCCAGGAAAAACACATATTGATCTTTATTATGGAATCTCTGTAGATAAAACTGAGAGACAGGTCAGGATTCTCAGGTGCAGTTTCTGTGTAACTCTCACATGCAGATTTTTTGACCTGATTTACGGTTCATGGCTCTGTAATTCCTGGGCCTATCCACGTGAAACAAAAACTGGCACAAAGTTCAATGTCTTCTCTTCAGTAAGTGGTTCCATTATTCAGCCCTAAAGACATGATTGTTTCAGCTGAAAGGACTTTAAACCATAACATTATAATGGCAAGTTTGTGGAGTCAATCTCAAACAAATAATGAAAAAAATGGATCATGAGTTTGGAGAAGAGTGACTCTCCCATAGAGTTACGCACATCATCAGACTCTAGGATATGAACACAACCTCAGTACTACATTCCTGTATTTGATCACACAATGAAGGCTTCAAACTGCATTTGTGAGAAAACATGAAGAAAATAAATAAATAAATAAGAATAAAATGAAGCTATCTAAGTTATGAATGTAATGTAAAAGTATTATTATTAGTACAATGATTGGACCAAGAATATGTTACAAAATGCAGTATTCTTTAACTAAGTATATTTTCAAAGTACTCTTCCCAACACTGTCTGTATTTCGATGCATTTAAAAGGCAATGTTTTGTTGAGCTGAAGCTGTACGTTCAAATGCTGCTGTGATGTGTGCTGGTTGGTTGCAGAGGTCGGTCGTTACTTTTACTTGAGCAATGTTTTCAAGAAATTGCACTGCAGTACTTGAGTCTTGAGTGTGTTGTAGTTTATTTTGTTGCAGTAACAGTACTCTGGAGTAGGCTTTGGTTAGTCTTCCCGCTGTGGCATATTTGGCAAACACTTGTATTGCTTTTGCCTGAGTCATTACTTGGACTATCACTTGAATAATATGACTGTGAAGTAACAGAATGGTTACTTAAATACAATGTTTGTCTGCTTACATTTTGTTTACATGTTTCATGGATGTGCAATTTATTACATAGCATTTACATGCTGGAATTGAAATCTAATAGTCGATTAGTTAAGGATTTTAATGTAAAACTGAAATTTGTAGAATTATTTGGGGCGACAGTAGCTCAGTTGGTCGAGCGTTTGTCCACTGATAAAACATCGTTGGTTGATCTCTCAAATCCACTGACCCACAGGTTGGCTGGTGTTATTCGAGATCCCCGTTGGTCACTGTTGTTGTATCCTTGGGCAAGACACTTCACCCGTCTAGCCCTCAGTGTCTGTGTACACTGGTGTGTGAATGGGTGAGTGGTTCCCTGTTGTAAAGTGCTTTCAGTGCCTTGAAGGTGGAAAAGTGCTATGTAATATGTGACCATTTACCTTTTGTATGTGTTGTAGCTGTAGAACTTTTTTTTTCCTTTGCCTTTCTGTAGAGCTCTACAAAGATATAGAACGTTCATGAATGTTGTTGAAAAAATCATTTTCAGAAGCTGTTTTGAATCACCGGTATACAGTCTGTGGATTGATGTCACGTATTATGACATTTTGAGATAGTCTAATGTTAAACCAGTGGAGAACTGAAGATGTTGAAGTTTGGTTTGTTTCATGGCTCTTTTGTCAATTTTTTATTTATTTATTTTGATTTAATTTTTTATTTTTTGGCAAATATGTTATATATATATATATATATATATATATATATACAAAGAGAGGGAAGGTAGTCCACACAGAGGGGTGTCACTCCCAGAGGGAACAATAGCAGACGTTGAGGACAGTTACAAGTACCTTGGTATCCCACAAGCAAATGGCAACTCGAAGAGGCAACAAGGAAAGCGGCTACGCCAAATACCTGCAAAGAGTGAGGCAAGTCCTTAGAAGCCAGCTCAATGGCAAGAACAAGGTGCAGGCAATCAACAGCTACGCCCTGCCAGTGATCAGATACCCTGCAGGGATTGTAAGCTGGCCAAAGGAGGAGATACAGACCACAGATGTTAACATGAACATCCCAAATCCAGCAAACTGTACGCAGGCCGGAAGGAAGGGGGCCGAGGACTGAGTGTGGGAACACTGTCCAGGATGAAACATCCAAGCTCCTTGAACATCAAGGACAAGGCCCCGCAGATGAGGTGCTCAGAGAATGTCTCAGACAGTGGGGTCCAGAGGAAGAGGTGCTGGAGGACCATCATGCAACAAACCCCTACATGGGGCGTACCACCGGAACATAACTGAAGTGGCTGATATCAAGAAATCCTACCAATGGCTTGAGAGGGTCTGAAGGACACACAGAGGCACTGATCCTGGCTGCTCAGGAGCAGGCCCTGGGCACTCGAGCAATAGAGGCCCAGATCTACCACACCAGACAAGACCCACGGTGTAGACTGTGCAAAGAGGCTCCTGAGACAGTCCAGCACATAACTGCGGGGTGTAAGATGCTGGCAGGGAAAGCATACATGGAGCGACATAACCAAGTGGCGGGCATAGTGTACAGAAACTCTGTGCAGAGTACGGCTGGAAACCCCAGGATTGGGAAACACCTCCAAAGGTTGTGGAGAATGACCGAGCCAAGATACTTCCAGATACAGACTACAGAATTCAACCAACCAGTAGTTGGTGGAAAGAAACAGAGCAGAGCTTCTAATAAAGCTAGGAATTACTCAAAAGAGCTGGAGAGAGCCTGGAAAGTAACATCAGTTTGTGGTGATCGGAATGTTAACAAACTGGAAGAGTGTACAACAGATACTTCAGTCAAAAAGTGCAGTACTTTTGCTATCAGTTTTGATATAACAAAACAACACAAAACATGTATACGGGCAGAAGAAAACAAAAACAAAACAAAAAAACACCCAAGTTTCACTGCAACGTAAACATATTTCAGGGCATTTCTTGGCAAAACTGTCACCTTCAGATCATACCGGACCTTCTCCATTTACAGTATATTAGTTAATTCAGTTAAAAACATCTTAAACTGAGGAATTGTATCAGTTTTCCATAATGTTACTATAACTTTTTGTTGCAATTATCATTCTATACACCACAGTGTGTTGTTCAGAGCAGCTCATGCGCAGAAAAGGAGACAAACAAAACCGCCTTTGCCTTTGGGACTAAAGAGCATTTATACAAACTTGAATACTAATTAAAAATACAATACCAGAATGTTTTAAGTTTTGAAGAAGTCCAAAACAAATGGTCAGTGAGCCCTGTGCAAATTTACAGTGGTCACATGTGGGCAAAGTGGTTCTTTTGCCTACTTTTTTACACTGTTTTGATTAATGTATTTCTGTGGTAGTTTCAGCACGAACATTTCAAAAATCATTCTAGGGAATAAACTGGATACTCGCTACAGATTCTGGTCTCTCTTTAGACCTTATAATGTGATTTTGAACATTAAATAGTAGTACGATACGTTCTTTTCTATTCCCATGTGTGTGAAAGTATCCTAGCTTCGGAACTAGTTTTAACATCGATCAGTATCTTTTTTTTTTCTTCTATTATTATTACGTTTGACGACCCTACTCTATGGACGTTTTGCGCTGGCACTTCAAACATGGCAGATTTCCACATTAATGCTCGTTTTGCGATGTCAAATCCCGAGCTGCATCGC